CGATGTGGGACTCGATCCCAGGACCCTGGGATCATGACCTGAGCCGAAGGCAGACGCCCAACCATCTGAGCCACCCAGGCGCCCCTATCAACCCCTTTTACAGATGAAGAAACAGACCCAGAGGGGTGTGTCCTCAGGTCGCTTGATGGGGGCAGGGAATGACTCAGCCCAGATTTGAACCTTGGTCTGGCTGACTCCATGTGACCCCACACTCTTCACTCTACTTGCTCTGTCCCTGTCTCGTTGCACCCCCAGGATCAGCACCCTCAGTGGCAGATCCATCAGGAAGGGAGGGAGGTGTATCTTTGTGTGGGGGCTGAAGAACAAGGAAGGGGACTGTTGCAGGGAGGTGTCTGTGGGCTGAAGGGGGAAGAGGACCCCAGAGAGGATGAGTCAGGTGAGGGCCTGAGGCTGAGGGGCTATTTTCCTTTTAGTATTTAACTGTCCTTTAGTATTTAACTTTTAGTATTTAAGTATTTAACTTAACTAAATAAGTGTTTAGTATTTAACTCATTAACTATTTAACTGACCCTGGGAAGCTGGCAGCTGGAGGGGGAGATGGGCCACCTGACATTGGAAAGACCTGGGTTCTAGTCTTCTCAGCTGTACCTTTCTGGGCCTCGATTTTGTCATCTATATAATGGGTTAATAGTAATAGTGACCCAGAGCTGTGATAGTGCTATGTGTAAGGAGGGCATGGGGAATCAGGCACAGAGGATGGAGTGGGGGCCTCAGGCTGTCTTGAAAGGCCAGGTGCCTTTCTGGAAGAAGTGACATTTAAGCTGAGACCTGGAAGTGGAGAGAGATTTACTCAATTCTTTGGGGACCTGAGGACAGGCCCATGTGGCTGGAGTGACCGGCATGAGGTTACCAGACGGTGGTGACTTGGCTCTGGGCTGGGCCCCTTCTTGGGACTCAGGTGGCCCCCTGAGACCTGTAATTGGTACGAGTGGAGGTGGGGGCATTCCCACTGCCCACCACCACAGACCACACAGCCTGGGCCCCTCTGGCCCAGAAGGTGGAAAGGAGATCATATGGAGGGTGCCGAAGGGAGTCCACAGGGAGCCCTGTGCAGAGGAGTTTGGAGGGAGGCTGGAGGGGACTTGCTGCAGAGCGACCTCCCACAAGTACAGATGTGTTCTGCAATGGCTGTGAGAGGCTCCAGGAGTCCGTGTGATGTCCCCATGGTGGGCTTGGTCCGCCCAGCTGGACGAACCTGTCATGTTCCTGTTTCGCTGACGGAGCCAGCGCCCCCACCATCAAGCATTTATTGGGCGCCTGCCACCTACCGGGCACTGTTCTAGACCTGGGGATACAGAGGTGCGCAGCACAGTCCAAGATCCTACCCTCACGGAGCTCACTTCCCAGTGGGGATGGGACTGCGGCCGTAGAACCATCTGGGAGGGTGGCATTTCCCGAAGCGAGTGAGGTGGCAAGCCGTGTGCGTGTCTTGGGGACTGTGTCCCAAGCAGGGCCACCACCTGGAGCAGAGACCCTGATGAGATTGGGCACGTTCACATGGATGCGTGCGCGTTTTGGCCTGAGGGAAGGGAGAGTGGAAGGAGCGAGAGTCAAGAGGCATCAGGAGGCCCATTCACGTGGGACCTGGTAGCAGAGGAGTGACGAGATCTCAGGCTGCTGCTGCTGGTGACGAGACTGTAGGCATCAGGGGAGGACGGGGGAGCCCTTCCCTCTGTCGAGTGACAGGAGACAGGCCACGCTGTTTGTGGCCTCAGGAGGCCTGCACAGGGGCTGCCACCTCCGTGTGCTCCCGGCCGCTCTGCTAGAAAACCGCGAGTAGGTGAGGCGCCTGGCGGCCTCTAATTACTGTGATGATTAAAGCCCTGAGGATAAACCCCAGGCGGAGCGTGCACTGCCTTTCATTCTCCCTGAAAATCAAGACTGTCTTCTGCTCTCTGCCCACAGCGCGGGGTCCGCATGTCATCCCCCATCGTCCTCACGTGCCCTCGTGTCCCTGTGGCTGCATGTCAGGAGAGAGAGCAGATGGCCCTCAGGCCTTTCCTCCATAGGTGGCAGGAGGGTGGGGACGGTGGGGTTCCTGCTGGTTCTGACAGGCTGCCCACACCAATGTCTTGGTGCTGGGGGTCAGGCGCCTGATGGAGAGGGACGGGGTGCCATAAGGACACTGAGGAGGGGCACCCGGGCCAGAATGGGGGGTGCAGGGAAGGCTCCCTGGAGTTGGGGAGTCCATGCTGAGTTCTCCAGGTTGCTGGTGATGAGGGATGAGGGGCCAAGTGGTCCAAACATCAAATACATTTTAAGGCATTTGAAATGCCAGTACCGGAGAGGCAGGGATGGGTGCGAGGGATTGAAAGAAGTCATGAGGGGTGGGGGTGGGGGGGCGGAGACCGAGCTGAGAGGTGGGTGGGCAGGGCAGACCAGATTCACAAATAATGGCCTGAGGGGTAGGACAGGAGCCTGAGACAGTGAGCTGGCCCTGCAGACACGTAGGCCGAGAGACATGGTGGGGATGTGGACGAGGATGGTGGCAGTGAGCATGGAACGGAAATGTCCATGGTCAGCTGGGCAACACTTGACTTGGCGATGGACCAAACTCAGATGGACACAGAGAAAGGAGTGAGAGCCGATGCCCAGGTGTGTGGCTGGGTGGCTGTGGGTGGCTGCTGCCTTTACAGAGATCCTGCAGCCAGGAGGGAGGGTGGCAGAGGATGAGCTGGGCTTTGGGAGAGTGGGAAGGGCCTGGGAGGTGCCCTGGGGAGACTTTCAGGAGGTCTGGAGCCTCGAGTCCTGGGTGTTGGAGGTGAGCATCTCTGCAGATAGAGGAAGCTTCTGCGTGCTGAGCTGCCCGGGCAGCTGTGTAGAAGGAGGAGAAAAATAAAACGAAATGTGTGAGTGTGTAGAATACTCTGGGAGCCTGGGGGGCTGGGTGGTGTCCTAGTTCTCCCTGGGCTGGTGGCCTGGGACTGGGGCCCTGAAGGATGCCTGGATGTGGGCGGGTAGAGGAGGGAAGCAATGGGGGTGTCCAACAGGGAGAGAGATGTAGACTGTGCCCATATCCGAGGAAGGCTGGTGGAAGGAAGGCTTCTTGGGAGAAAGATGCCAGACGAGGCATGTTGTCAAAGGTGTTGAACATTAAGCTGAAGAGTTAGGGCTTTTTCTTGTAGATGAGGGAGGCCCAGCATGGTTTTGAACACAAAAGAGACTTAATCAGAAGCACGTTTAATAAAAAACTCTTTCTGGCCTCACTGCTTAGGCATGTGTCCGTGTGACACTGGTGCCGTCCCTGCCCTCTGAGCTTCAGTCCATGTGGCCTCAGCCCGGCCAGCTTCATTCAGTAGGCGTACAGGGGCAGAACTGGGAAGGCAGCTTGAAGGGCTCGTCACCTGCACAACTGCCTTCACCCTTCCCCTGGCCTGCATTTGGGTGCCTGCCTTGGGTGCTCTTGGCCTCCAGGCCATGTCTTGAGTCTGCCTCTGAGATAGTACGGTATTGTCTCAGCAGGAGTCCTGGGAAGGAGGGGGCACTCTGTAGGAAAACAGTGTTCTCCACTCTGGGAGTGCCCCCCACCATGTGCCCCCCATTCCCCACTGTCCTGCACAACGGGCTATTGCCCACCGTGAAAAGGTGCCTGTGACTTAATGACATGTAATACCTTTTGGACTGCTTATCATGCACCAGACCCCAAGCAATGCATGCTACATGCATCAGCTCATCTTCATTCTTAGGAAGTGGGTTCTCTGTACCCATTCCACCGACGAGAATATTGAGGCTCAAAAAGGTTAAATAATTAACTTATGGTCTCATACATAGTCAGAGACTGTAGGCTCGGGATTTTTAATGCAGGCAGACAGAGGGCAAGTTCATCCTTTTAACTCATCACCCTAAAATCACTTTCTGAGCAGAGACTGGTCTCTCTCAGCACCCCTGCGCACCCCCTCCTCCATAACCTGGCCGCACGATGAAGCCTCCATTAGGTGCCTTTTGAGAGCTGTGGTCCATCGCAGGGCATGAGGGATAGCTGGTGGTTATCCCAGCTTGGTCACTTACTTGATGTGTGTGTTCTAGGGATCATCACCGAAATCCCTCACACCTCAGTTTCCTTCTCTGCAGAATGGAGACCACTAGTCCCCACCTCTTAGAGCTATGCAGAGCAAATGAGATAAGGCTCTTGAGCACTTAGCATAGGGCCAGGCATAAGGGAAGGGCCCAGTAACGGTGGTCATTAGAGTCCTATCACCAACCTCGTTGCCTTCTTGCACAGAGGACCCAGAAGCCACCTGGCCAATCGCGAACAGGTGCCAATGGCGCGCGCGTGTGTGGCAGAGCCAGAGGACCGGGAGGATGAATCGCTGACCGAAGCTCTGCATTATTAATGCCGTTATTCTCAGACTTTTAACGAGGGCCGCCTTGGGAGCCCATATATGGAAGGCGCGTCGCAGCCTCCGCGACAGGCGCCCCCCGGGGTCCCGAGTTGCCATGCAGTCCCGCAGGCAACCTGGAGGCAGCCGCCCGCGGCAGTGCCCGGAACGAGGCCCCTCGCGCAGGTCCTCGGTCTGCGGCCTGAGTCCTGGCCGCGCCGGGTTCCTCCTTTGCGTGGCCCTTGCCCGCTCCCCTGGGGCCCTGGGGGAGCGAAATGGGTGGGTGGAGAGTGGGGCGGGCTTCCGCGGGAGAGTGCGGTTTCCGTGCGGTGCCTGCTGCGGGGCTTCGGCCCCGGGCTATTCCGCGGGGCGGACGCGCGGCGGGGCCGAGGGGACCTGAAATCCAGTCGCCGCCGCTCGCCGAGCACTGCGCCTTCAGTGCGCCGGCGTCCGGCCGGCTGGCGAGCCGCCGAGCCCCTGCCGCACCCCTTCCTCGGCGGCGGCCGGCTCGGGGGCGAGCCCCGGAGCGACGGGCCCGGGGGGAGGTGGTGGCGGGCCGACGCCGAGCCCGGCCCCGCGCCGGCCTTCCCCGGCCTCCCCCAGCCGGCCGGGCTCCGCGGGGCGGGGCGCGGGGCGGGCCCGGGAGGAGCGCGGGGAGGAGTCCGGGCTGCGGCGGCGGCCGCGTCACAGCAGTGCTCCCGCTGCCCGGCGCCTCAGACCCGGCCCGAGCGCCGCCGAGGACGCGGACGGGGACCCGCACGGGCACAGGGGCTGCGCCGGAGCTTCCTCTCGCGGGCCGGGGCTGCGCGACCATGGCGGACAAGGAGGCCGGCGACGGCGACGCGGGGCCCCGAGGTGAGCGCGGGGCGCGGGTCCTGCGGCTGCGGCGGGGCGGGCCGGGGAGGGCTGAGGCGCGCTCGGCCCGGCGCCCCGCAGCTCCCTCTCCGGCCGCGGGAAAGTGGGCGCGCACCCCTCAACAGCTTGCCCCAGCCGGGAGGGCCAGGGTCAGCGCCGCGGCGGAGCAGGGCGTCCGGGGGACCCGATTCGGCCCGCCGGTCACGTGCTGCGCTCCCGGCCGGGGTGCGGACACTGCGGCGGGGACCGCAGCCCCCGCCCAGGCGCCCTGGCCGTCCGGTCCCGGGGTGGCGCCTCCTGCGGGGCCCCTGGTGAGTACGGGTGAGAACCAACCCCCCCGTGTCCATCCCCCGCGCACTGTGCGGGGACGCCCGCGCTGGCCGAGTAAAGGGCCGGCCGCCGGGTGGCCCCGTATCCCCAGCGGCTCATTTCCGTGACTCAGCGAGGCGCGGGTGGGACCCTGGGGGCAAATCGAGGGTTTGGAGCTGTCCCCTCGCCCTGCCGAGGTCGGACGTACGTGCGGGCCGTGGGTGCTGCAGCTCCGGGCGGAATTGCAGCGCGCACTGCCCGCCCCGCCCATCCCCAGGGTTCTGCGGGCCGTGGAGGGGCGAAGCGGCGGGGGCTCGGCTGTCCCCTCCTTGCCCGGGCAGGGGAGAGGAAGGTGGCGCCCTGTGCGGAGGACGGACGCTCGCGTTCTGCAAATGGGCCATGGCCGCTTTCTTTGGGGAGCGTGGTTAGGGCTCAGATGGGGCGAGGGTGCCGGGTAAGGACCGAGAGGAGGACCCGGGAGTCAGGGGAAGAGGAGGAGCAGCTTTTGGAGCCCAGGGCTATAAATCATGGTTTCGCCAGCGGAGGGGACGGCCTGACCAGGATCGTGGGTCCCAAGTGGGGAAAGTTGGGCGCACGGAGATGCCGCGCGTCCCTGACCTGAGGGGCTTTAGCAGTAGCAGCCGCTGGAGGGGAGCGTAGCCCAGTGGCTTCCGGCGAGCGGCAGGATGAGCCTGGCGAGGATGAAATTAAAATGTCTGGGACGTAAGGGAAATTCATCCAGGAAAAGATCTGCGGGCACCTCAAAGCTGGGGAAACTGAGTCAGGTGGCTGCGCAGCCACCATGGGTGGGGTGCTTGCAGTCGTGCAGTCTGTGGCCGCGGCCCCTGCCCTCTGCTGCGCTCTGAGCGGCACCTGCCCCCTCCCCAGCCCATTGTTCCTGCAGATCTGGGAGGTGCCTCCCCACGCGGCACTGCAGTAGTGGGGGAGTGCGGGGGGGAGGGGGCATCCTGACAGGGTTCACTCTTGGGAGGGGCCTTGGAGAGCCCAGGCCAGAGCCCAGGCCGGGCCCAAACGCGCATCCAAATCTGCCCCCGCCTCTGCCCTTCCCCAGCTGGCAAACGGGGGCAGTGGGCTGGCGGCATTGTCTGGATATCACTCAGCAACTGGATCGATTCATTGCCCCCCCCCTTTCTTTAAATTGGAAAGAAAATGTAGGATGATAGGGAGGCACATCAGATTTGCTAAGAATTTCTAAAGCTTAAGTTTCTTGCCTCTCATGCTGGGATGATAAACAGCGGATGGCTGGATCAAATGCAAGGTTGGCCATAGGGTGTGTGAAATCAGAAGAGTGAGCAGGAATATGCTTCCCCCACACCATTTGTCTTGTAAAATCAAATTCAGCACCCCTACCCTAGACACACACACACACACACACACAGGCACACAGAGGCACTGGGTGGTTGTCTGTCCTCAGGCTGGGAGAGCTCCCCATCCAGGATGGGGAAACACATGCTGGGTGGTGCTGGGCCACCTGCCACTGTTCGCGTCTATCTATCCTAGAGTGTTTCTTCACTTCCAGTGATCAGCAGTTCAAGGCAGCCTGTGAGAATATCCAACACATGGACTTGGGACACAGAGCAGGCTGTCCCTGGCAACTTGCTGATTCTCTCTTGGTTCCCATCCCTTCATCTCTAAAATGAGACATATTAATAGTATCTCACGGGAGCAGAGCCTGCTCACCCATCATCTAACACATCTATGTCTCAGATTTCCTCACTGAATATTCTGTGCTGGGCAAGGAGCATTTGTTAAAGCCTCAACAACAGATCTGTTACCAGCATTGCCCTTTCCCCTAGGTAGGAAATCTAAATGTAAATTGAACGACCTATCCAAGGTCACACATCTAGCAAGTATTGATTTGGACTCAGGCCATCTGATTCCAGGCCTCTGGCCCTTTGCCGCCATCCTATGTAGCCCCTGTGGGTGTGGCCAGTGATGACTACTCTATGAGGAACATAAAAATGGTGTTCTTCAGGGGATTATTTCAAGGATGTTTTTGGTGCCAAAGGATGAGTGTGGAGAGATCAAACTGTGTTGGGACTTGTGGGCAGTGAGAGCCCTGGATGGTGGTGTGGGCCAGGAAGGCTGGCCATAGCATGTTTCCCAACAGAGCAAGTGGAGGTGGGGTGTGGGCAGAGTTACTCATGAGACAAGAATGGCAGAAAGTTGGTAGTTGTGGAAGCTGGCTGATGGTACACGGCACTTCATTACTATTCCTTTTGTGTGTGTGTTTCCTTAATAGAACATTTCCGTTAATTTACAAAGGACCACTTTTCATCTTTAGAGCTTTGGACAGCAAAAGCTGAGATGACCTTCAGTCCTGTCCCCACCAAGACCTGCCTTGGTTGGCCACAGGGAGCCCTAGAAGGATGAGATGAACGGGGTGGGGAGGACATGGGATGGTTCAGGCCGGGCTAGCTCTTACGGTGACCCGAGTCAGGGGTAGGCATGGGCGGCGGACATCTAGTAATTTGTTCCAGGGCGGGGATGGCGTTAGGGAGAGGAACAGCAGGTCAGGAGGTTTGCCCATGTTGGGGGTGCCTCTGGAAGCATTGCGTTGGGCTTTGGAGGTGAGATTCTGAGGACTCCATTTATGCTGAAATGGGAAAATACTGAATTATTTCAGTTGGCCCTGCTCACAATTGTGATTGAATGAATGGCTGACAGAGGGTCCTGTTACCCCGACTCCACCAGGGAGGGACCTGGCAGGCCCACACGGCACAGCCGGAAGTGGGCTTGAGTGAAGGGTGGGTGGGAGGTGAGCAGGCTGCCCCGCCTCTCTGAGCACGTGCCTGGTGAGGGCTCTGGCCATGGACCCACTTTCACGTCCATGTGTGCGTCTGCAGCTGTGTCCCCTGCCGCTCTGTGCGTGCTCCCCACACAGTGTCCCGTTTCCCAGAGCCCTGTGATCTCCTTTAGCCCTCATGCTGTTCCCCCCGACCAGGAACATCCTCCCTTTCTCTAGCAAACTCCAGCTTATCCTTCAAAACTCAGCGCACGTTATCACTTCTCAGGAAGCCTTCATAGACTCATCTATCTTGATGAGATCTATCTGGCCTTTGTGCCCCAAAGCCTTTGGTACTGATCGTTGGTAATCTCAACTAGTGTTCACTGAGCGCTTACAATGTTCCAACTTTGTATGTGTATATTCCATCGACTCCTCTGACAGCCCTATGAGGTTTGGTTATTATTACCCCATTTCGCCGATGAGGCAACGAGGCTTTTGAGAAATTTGGTAGTTTGCCCGGCCAAGGGATCAAATCACAGAGCCAATGAATGCTTGAGTTGGGATATGAATCAGTCGTTGACCCTAAAAGCTTGGACTTTTCTCTTGCCTTTTCTCCCAACATGGGCAGGGACTGTGTCTTTCATTTCCATACTCTTAGTGAGGGCACATAGTAGGTGCTCAATAAACACCTCCCTGTGCGTCAAATGAATATCAGTCAGTAATCCACAAGGGAACACAGCAGTGGGGAATGGCATCTTCATCCTGCCCACTCTGCAGCGAAGTGGTGCTTCTAGAAACGTGGATGCTCAGGAGTGGGTGGAAGCTGAAGGGGGGTAGGCAGGGCTCAGTCAATCCTTGAAGAGATGCGACCTTGATTCCAACAAGGGTTTGGGTGATGACTCAGTATTGTGCGGGCAGAATGCTCTCTCATTGCATAAGTAGGCCTCTGGTAAGGGAGAAAGCTTCTTTATTATTGTTGCACATAATTAGAATAGCAGGGAGGAACAAGGCGCTTTAATGAATGAGCGGCATGTGGCTGGGAGCGAGCGCCTTCCACCTGCAGCATGTCTGGGCATCGCCAGGGGAGCGGGGGTGGGGGGTGTCAGAGAGGGGACCAAGAACTGACACTGACCCCACCGCTGTGGATTCTGCAAATCCTTGCTGCCCCCCTTTATTGGAAATGACTCCTAATCCATCCCGAGATGGGCAGTAACAGGTGCGGGGGGTGGGGGTGGTAAAGGGGCAATGTGGCTTTGGAGCCCAAAGTGCATGTCGACTCCAGCTAAGCTTTACCTTGCTGGTCTGGGCAAGGGGCACATGACGCCTGCCTCGGTCTGTTGTGGGAACAGTGCAGATATCAGGGGGGCTGGAATTTATCAAGTTCTTTCCCCATTGGAGGAAGGGAGAGTTGGCCTTCCTGTCTCTACCTCCCAGATGCTCCTTGGGATGGCCATTGCCTTGTGTGGCATGATGGCGGGTCCAGCTAATCTGCTTTCTTTGTAGGCATTAGAAGGAGGGCAGATTCTGCTCGGGTTTTTCTGACTTGGGTCTGTGTGGGGAGTATGTTCAGGCCCTGAAGCAAGACCCTGGAAGTGGTGAACACCTCTTTCCTGGCAAACACGAAGTCAGCCCTTCTTGAGTGCCTTTCCCCCATCTCTGCAGAGCCCACTGGTGGGAAGCAAGAATGAAGGTGGCTGAGGGCTGGTCCTGGAGCATGGAATGTGAGAAGCTACACTTTTTGGTCACTGGACATCCCCTGGGGTTGGTTCTCAATCCTGGCTGCCTATTAGAATCACCTGGGGAACTTTTTAAATGTCTTGATGCCTAGGCCTCCTCCCAGAACTATTCTATCAGGACTTCTTTATGTGAACAGCCAAGTTTGGGAATCCGTGTGTTACCTACATATCTGGACTTCAGACTTGGGACCTCAGCATGAGAGGGG